GTCAAGCCCAACGGGTCTTCTTTCCCCCCGCTGATTCCGTTATCCGCGCTTCACTGAATTTCTTCACTTTGACATTCAGAGCACTGGGCCGAAATCCCATCGTCAACACCCGCAGCAGGCCTTCGCGATGCTTTGTTTTAATTAAACCATCGGATTCCCCCGGTCCGCACCCGTTCTAAGTCAGCTGCCCAAGCGAGGCGCCCCGCGGAACCGCAGCCCCCGGGCATCCCGGCGGGGGAGACCGGAGCGCACGCCGGGAGGCGAGGAGGAGGCCCAACACCACCCCGGGAGCGACCCGTGCCCGCCGGGTTCACAGGGGGCGGCCGAGATGCCCACCGCAGCTGGGGGGATCCACGGGAAGGGCCCTGCTCGTGTCCAGAGTCGCTGCCACAGCAGCTGCCCCCAAGTCCGGCCAGTGGGCCCGCAGGCCCCAAGGGGGACCTCCCCCTAGCACCGCTGGGACCCCACTGCCAAGACCTCGCCCCGCCCTGCCAGGACACCACCCCCCTCACCCACTCGCCTTCCCTCCCCCTACCAGGGAAGGGAAGAAAGTGACTTGGAGGTGGAAGAGCTGCGGGGTCCGGGAGCTGGAGGGAAAGGGCCTCCGCCAGCCACAGCAGCCACACTTCTCGCCCCAGCCCGACCGACCCAGCCCTTAGAGCCAATCCTTATCCCGAAGTTACGGATCCGGCTTGCCGACTTCCCTTACCTACATTGTTATGCGGAATGTGTCTGTACTGGTTAATAATGCGGATACCTGTTAATAATGCGGAATGTGCCTCTACCAGTTAATAGTGCGGAATTTTTTCAATAGATGGAGTTACATATATGTTGATATATATGCGATTTGATATGTGTGCTATTTTGTTGTATTGACAACAAGCTTCAAAGCTTCACATGTCAAATTTTCTGAAGGTGTTAACATCATAGATATTTTTATGCTTAAAAATGTCGAATTTCGTGCCAAAAAAAGAGCATTTGCAGGAAGTTTGAATTCATTACTTTATTTTGAAGAAAAGTGCTGCTGAAAGTTATCATGTACTTTGGGAAGCTTATGGTGAACATGCTCCATCTTAAGATACTTGTGAACGCTGGTTTAAACGCTTTAAAAGCGATGGTTTTGATGTAAAAGACAAAGGACGTCCAGGTCAACTGAAAAAGTTTGAAGACCAACAATTACAAGCATTATTGGATGAAGATGGGTGACAAACTCAAAAGGAAATGCAGAAAGATTAAAAGTTGCTCAGCAAACAATTTCCGATCGTTTACAAACAACGGGAAAGATTTTAAAGGAAGGAAAATGAGCGCTACATCAACTGAACAAATGGAAAACCAAAAAAGTCATCAGTAAAATGTTGCTTCAATGGCATGAAAGAATGTCTTTTTTGCATCCAATTGTGACTGGCGATGAAAAGTGGACTTATTTTGAGATTCCCAAATGCACAAAATCATGGGTTGATCCAGGTCAACCATCAACATCGACTTCAAGGCCAAATCACTTCGGAAAGAAGACAATGCTCTGCATTTGGTGGGATCAGGAAGGTGTGGTGTATTATGAGCTTCTAAAACCATTAATACTGTTCGCTACCGACAACAAATAATCAATTTGAACCATGCTTTGATCGTAAAATGATCAGAATGGGCCATGATGACGCACCATCACACACTTCAAAACCAGTTAAAGACACATTAAAAGATCTTGCCTGGGAAGTATTAACCCACCAGCTGTATTCACCAGACCTTGCTCCTTCAGATTACCACTTATTCCAATCGATGGCACACGCACTGTCTGGACAGCACTTCAAAACTTACGAAGAAGTAAAAAATTGGGTCTCTGAATGGTTTGCCTCAAAACAAGAAAAGTTCTATTGGGACGGTATCCACAAATTACCTGAAAGACGGAGGAAATGGGTAGCTAGCAATAGACATTACTTTGAATAAAGCACTTCTGATGTTTCTCTTGAAATTATCATGTTTTCTTTGATTACAAAATTCGCATTAGTAACTGGTACACCTAGTACAAGGGCCTCAGGTGAGCATAAATACACTGAATATGTTTATTATACAAGGGGCCTCAATATATGAATATACAACTTCTCTAAATCTTTCTTTTCTTTTCTTTTCTTTTTTTTTTTTAAATATATTTCACTGATTTTTTACAGAGAGGAAAGGAGAGGGATAGAGAGCTAGATGCATCAATGAGAGAGAAACATCGATCAGCTGCCCCCCGCACGCCCCCTACTGGGGATGTGCCTGCAACCAAGGCACACGCCCTTGACCGGAATCGAACCTGGGACCCTTGAGTCCACAGGCCGACGCTCCATCCACTGAGCCAAACCGGTCAGGGCTCTTTTCTTTTCTTTTTTTAAAATATATTTTTATTGATTTCAGAGAGGGATAGAGAGATAGAAATATCAATGATGAGAAAGAATCCTTGATCACCTGCCTCCTGCACTCACCACACTGGAGATGGAGCCCGCAACCCGGGCATGTGCCTTGACTGGGAACCGAACCCTGACCTCCTGGTTCATACATCAACACTCAACCACTGAGTCTTTCTTTTCAAGTCAGCTTTGAACATACTTAGTTTCCTTCAATCATTTCTCAAGAGATTGACCTGTGAGCACCAGGGCAGGGAGACATAACTTACACAACTTTAAACATCCCAGTACTTGGTACAGTGACTGAGAAATAGTTGGTTCTCAGGGGAGGTTGACTGATGAGAATTAAAATGACTTTTATATGCCAATGTCAATTCTCAGGAGAAGTCTTCCTTTTAGGGCAGGGGTGTGGAACATCTGGCCCTTGGGCCATATTAGGCCCCACACGAAATCATTTGGGCTGGCCCTGCAAAGGCACCGCTGGCAGGACTTGAAATTCAATAAACCTAGGAGCTTTTTTCATAGCAACATAAATTTATATTAAGTGAATTATATTAAGCCAATGATGTCATAAATATCCAATGGCCCTTGGCAGGAAAAAGGTTCCCCACCCCTGTTTTAGGGGCATGCTGAGAAATGTGTTTCTAGACAGAAACTGTCAATGTAGATCCCCCTCCCCCAACATTCAGTTTCCTTATATACTTGCCTTGATTATCGGCAAGATAAAACAAGATTCTGATCGATATCGATGCTTTCCTTAGTCTCAGACTTCTCATATAATAAATTACCTCCAACCCCACCCTTCCATTATCTTGGTCTATCTTTTACACTTGTTTTCATGGATCTATTTCTTACATCCTTTTACAAGCTGGCACGCATGTTTTAAAACATACTCTATTCTCTTTTTAAATATCTAAAACAGAAAGCGATTCTAATTCTTTTGTTATATATTCTCCTCTAAGAGGAACCCAGTTCTAGGAGGAAATAAAAACATTTGCCAATTCAGCATCTGGGGGCTTACTCCTACCTGTCCTCAGCTTGAAAGCTTCTGTCTCCCTTTCCCATTTACAGCAAGAACACAGTTCAATAGATGCTCATTTCTAAGCTCCTTGGATTATAAAAATGCCTTTAAAGAGCAGATATCAATCACATTTTTTTAAATAGCACATCTAAGGTAAGCAAAGTGCTGCCCATCCCAGCCGAGATTCCCCCCCCCCCCCCCCAACTCTGCCTCTAAGCAAGGAGAGCAGAGCGTTGAAACACCTGAATCAACTGGTATCTCCACTTTTGTCACATGGCTAAAAGGGGCCTCTATTTGTAAACACATGATTGACACCCATCCATCTGGGCTGGGTCAAACTCAGTCCATCCTGAGTAGAAAGACCAATCAGATGACTTCTGAGGCTCCTACATGCCTATGATTTATCAAACAGAAATGTAATTGTGTCCTTAGGTTTTAAAAAAAAAAAAAAAAAGCCATCACCACCGCAAAGATCCCTCATAAAGTCAGTAAGTGAACCAAGATACCTTTTCCCCTTCCTTTGGATGAGTCTGAAACCAAGATTTAACTGAATCTGCCTAAAGAAGGAAATAAAAGTAAGACAAGCGGGCAGCAGAGAAAGAGGGGAGTTGGTGGTGATGAAACAGGGCTTAGACCCAGAGGGTGTCTCCTTCCAAACTGTGCAATTAGAGGCTCAATAAAAGGTTTCAGTGCTTGCTGTCAGCTCACAACCAGCTGACCCGCATCACACTTGTTGTCACTCCTGAACAAGGTAAGTCTCAATGAGTATCTCTTGAGCTACTACTTTGCTTCTTTGTGAGATTATATAAGGATTTCAGAAGAAGCACTATTGATGATACTAAATGGGGGGGGGGGGGGGTGGTAGCCAGCCACCCAAATGCATCCCTTGCTTCCAGAACTTCTTTGATCATTTTCTGTTTTAAAAAATATAAACTGTTTGTGTGACCTAGGCATGAATATTATTTAACAAGACACAGAACTCAGACCTATATTAAAATAAAAATGCAGAGTTATTTAAATGATGGGGATTGATGGGGGGAGAGGGGAAAGTCGGGACTCTATTTTACCAGTAAGTTTCCTGAGCCTCTGAGCCATGTCTTCTTGGTTAAAAAATAAAAATAAAAAATAATAATAATAAAAGTTGTTTTGGCCTGCATACATAGTAGTTGATTTACTTCTCTTTCTTCTACAAGCTTTCCTAACTTCATAAGTTACAGAGGATTAGACTGAGTCACGGTGGGAGGAAAACAGGTAGGCACTGTTAGATGAGGCTGGAAGGATTGGTCTCTGTTGGTTTTATTTGTGTATTTTAGCACTTACATTTGAGTTCTTTTTCCGCCCTTCTTTTGCAATAAAGCCTTCTCTGAACATATGGGTGTTGCTGTTTTCCGAAGGACGGGGTGAAGTGTCTCTTCTAATATTTAGCTGTGCTAGATCTGATTTCACCACATTACCTGGTACAAAACTAAATCACCCCTGAAGTTCAAATACAATATTTTAAGATACAGAATAGAGCAGATAATGCCAGTGAAGCTGGGACAGAGTCAGAAAGAACGATGATCTTTTTATCTCCTCCCTGAAGGACCCATCCTAGAAGATCCACTTTGTTTGTCCTTTCTCAGAGTCTCCTGAGTTTGTCAAAATGCCTCGGCTCCTGAGAGATGTCCTCTGTGTAATCGAGACATTCCACAAGTATGCCAGGGAAGACGGTAAAGAGGCGACGTTGACCTGCAGAGAGCTGAAAAGGGTCTTTCAGGGAGAGTTTGGGGACATTCTTCAGGTATGGTGCTCACAGAGTTGTACAAATCCTTCTCCTCTTGCCCTTTCTCCATAATCCAAGCAGGATGGGCATAAGCGATCCCTGCCTGTTTTATACCTGGCTACCAGTTCACTGCCTTTGAACAACTTTTTTCATTCTCAGCTCCCTACTCTGTGCAATTGCTTAGCCAATATTGCTTAGCTCAAAACTAAGCTTTTGAGAGGAATCCTGAACTAGGACATATTTAAATGCAACTCATAAGTGATGTAAATGCTTCTTTGCTCTCATGAAAAATGGCATCCAGAATAAAAAAAAAAATTCTTACTATTTTGGGAACTCTCACAAGTGCCTGAAGAATAGGGCTAAAAAATGAATATTCTTGGGAAACATGTAGACACTCAACACACTTGGCTCCTTATAAATAGGCTGATTTCTCACTGTGTTTTCATGCAGCCACGTGTCATTCATGCTGTAGAAAGAAACTTGAATCTTCTGACTATTGACAGTGATGGCACCATCGGTTTTGATGAATTTGTTCTTACAATCTTCAACTTGTTGAACCTCCATTATCTTGACATACAATCATTACTAAATTCAGAACCTAGACAAGGGTCTAAACCAGAAGAGAAGCCAGATGATATGAATCTCCAGGCAACCGGCAGAACTGGCCAGCCCACAGAGGCAACTCCACCAACTCAAGATAAATTAGTGCTTCCTTTGGGACTAGTGTCATCAGCTCAGCTCAGCCCTGAGGAAAGAGAATACAACAGGGTGGAACCACAGGGAGACACCAAGACTCACAAACTGCCAGGAGAAGCATCTGGGCACAATGACCCTAAGAACCAACACCTGGAAGGAGATGGACAGAGTCAGGAAGTGACCCAAAGTATAGCATCAACAGGAGACAAAGGGGCTGAAAATGAGACCAATAAGCCAACAGCAGGATCAGAACAGAAGGGCAGTCCCACAAAGGGGGAGGAGGGACAGGATAAGGAGATTCCCAAGGAAGAAGATAAGCCAGCCAGGGAGCAAAGTGACACTAAGACAAGAGATCAGATTGGAGATCAGGAAGAGAACTTGGGAACCCAAAGTCCTCCATCAGAAGAAACAACACAGAGACCACCTGAAGATCAGAGAGTTGCAGCAGAAAAGGTTGTTAAGGAACACTCTCATGCACAAGAACAGCCACTACAAGGAAAAGATAAACTGAGTTCCGAGGGCACAGACCTGCCAGAACAAACTGATTCCAAGGATGATAGGAGAACAGTTGAGACCCAAGAGCCTGGAAACAATGCTGACAGGACACCACCAGAGACAAAGAACGCAGCTGAACCAGAGGGTGATGGCAGAACACCTGAGACCCAAGAACCCCCAGCACAAGAAAAAGAACATGAAACAAACAACTTGTCAGTCCACGATGATGGCAGAAATGTTTCAGGAACACCTGATGTTAGAACTGAAAAGAAAGAGGGGAGAGGCCCTGAGGCCCATGAAATAGTAGGGAGGGAAGAAAGCGAAAGAAAGTCTCAGCCACCAGCCCTGGAAGAGCAAGCACAGGATGGCAAGTATCCCAGATGGGAACTCCAGGAATCAGCAAAAGAAAGGGATGCTGGAGAAGGTTCCAAGACACAAGAGTTAAGCTCAGAAGGAGGAGACCAGACTCATCCTGAAATTGAAGCAGCAGTCACCCCAGGAGAAGAGGCAAGACACCCAGAGGGAGGGACAGCAGAAATACTTGTGAGCAGCAAAAATGCCCCTACAGCAGGAGCAAGAGAAAGAATATGGGAGTTGTCACCACTTGAGAACAAGTCCGGAGAAGAAAATAAGAGAGTCACCAAGACTCAAGACAAGCTTGTCAAGGAGGAGGATGGTTCCCAGGGGGAAGATCAGGAGCCAACAATCACACAGAAGGATAAAGGGTCTTCTGAAACCCCCAACAGCCTGACTCCGGAGGATGGGGACAGCAGCTCAGAGACAAGTGACCCGCCTATGCAAGGGGATCCCAAGAGTCAAGTAGACTCACATGAAGAGTCTGTGCAAGGAAGTCACAATAATAACCCAGACACCCAGAAACAGGTAGCACTGGATGAGAAAAACAGAACTCAGGAGGCAGTCAGAGGAGAGGATGAGCAGCTCACCGAGGAACAAGAACCTCCTGAAGGCAAAGAGCACAAGATTCAGGGCTCGGGGACTAAAGGCCCAGGTCCAACTGTGGAGCCCAGTGAACACCCAGAGGCACAGACACACCTTGAAACCGAGAAACTTCTCACATTGGAGGAAGAGGATAAAAGCACCCAAGAGCTGGCAGGAGAACAAAATCCAGTCCCTGAGTCAGGCCTTGAAGAGAAGACTCAGAGAAACGAAGAGTCCTATTCAGCAGGGAGCAGTACAGTCTATTCCAGTCCACTGTACAAGTACCTGCAGGAGATTCTGCAGCAAACAGGCCTAATCAAAGAGGAGCATCAAAATCAAGCTTAGACAGCCAGGGTATAAGCCTCTGCAATCACCAGCTCAGCAATGAGATCTCAGATTTTCCTTTCTTTTCCAATGACAGCTAAGCATTACAATAGTACACCAGGAGCTTCTGCCTGGTAAGGATTCTGCTGACGCACAACAAACATCAGCTCCCCAGGCCTTGGAAGATGAGCAAAGCCACCCTCAGAGAGAGGAACAAGACCACAAAGGAAGGTGAACACCACAAAGCAATGAATCCTTATCATTATCCCAGGAGAACTTCATACATCTCAACATGTCTCAAAATTCTTTCCTTTTGATCACCCTCAACACACACATGCACACATTCAGATGCAGATTAATAATCCTTTAAATTTCTTTCCTAAGTTTTTACAAGAGCAAATAATAAAGTATTCAGCAGAATAATACAAATAATAAAGAGAGCTACTACCAAAGAAATGTCACACTAAACAAACATCCTATCACATGATGCTATTGCCAAGTGCTAAAATGGGCTTTGTCAAGAGATAATTTATCACTATTTACCTGTCACTAAAAATGGAAAAATCCCCTTCATATTTTTAACAGGTGCCAATTTCTTTAATTGATTAATTGGCTTTTTAAAATGTGGCAATAGGACATATGTGACTCTACAATACTATCTTATCATCATAAAATATCATTACTCATAGTTGTAGATAATTCTGTTTCATGATATTTTTCACACAGATTTTAAGTTTATTCTAAAATGTTATCCCTCGAAATAATTTCAGATATCTCCATAACTTAAAATAATTGTGATATCTAGCATCCAATTAGAGTAGATTTATGACTTTCTTTACTAATGTCCAGTTGCAACTAAATCTATGCTACACATTCATTCATTCATTTATTCATTCAACAAACTTTTATTAAATCCCACTTCTTACCCAGCCTTTTAATAGTTTCTGGCTCTAATAAGCAATCAGAATAATTATAAAGCGGAAAGAGAATACAAATCTAAGGTATGCTTGATTCCACAAGAAGATCTTATAATCAACCATCCACTAAGTCTACAAAATGTTTATCCATACGGTTTGCTAAGGGCATTGTATTAAAATTAACAATTAAACAATCTGATGATCAATACCTTTTCTTGGTTCATTTTTCCCCCTTTATTTTCCATCAAGCCTTAAAGACATTGATCAGAAACAAAAACAATGTTAGCAATTTCTGTTTTCTTAAAAGAACTATAATTACAGGATGATGCTTTCAAAACTTAATTATGACACAGACAAAGAATAAAGTAGTTATCACAGGTTTCCTGAAGCCAAAATACCCCATTTCCCATTGTATTCTTCTTTTGAGGCTCAATTTTCTTCCACTTCAACTCACAACTCTTCCAGAATCTAAAATTCTCCATTTCCTCCCCCTCAACATTTTCAGATCTTTTCATTCCACCTACAAACATGAATGAACATAATGAATATTCCTACCTAAAAAAAAGTATTCTCTTAAATGAGCAAGAGATATGAGACAATTCACACAAAAAGAAAAACATATATTTGAGCGTAAACTAAACATCCCTTTTGGCAAGCAATTTGGCAATATATATCAGGGACCATAAAAATAACAAAGGTCATAAATAATAAATTCACTATAGGATCTCAACAGAATCTTGTTTAAACCCATTTTCTATATCCAGTTTTCATTCTCCCTATATGACTTCAAGTTCCCTCCACCTAAAAATACTGTCTCTCCCTTGTTTCTACAGATTTATGTCCAAATCCTGCTTATCCTATGGGATCCAACTCTAATGCCACTTCATTCATTCATTCCAAGATTTTATTGAAAAATCCATATTAGTTCCATATGCTGGGTAAAGCATTAGAAGTACAACAGTGACAAAACAAATAAGCACTCTTTATCCAATGAGGGAGGGGAAACACCAACAAGTGCAACAATAAATACACAAAATAATCCCAGTATGATAGTGAGGGCCAAGGGAGCAGGAAGGCAGAGGCAGGCAGAAATGCTGCTATAGAATACTACTTTAACCTTTCCTGATGGCCCCCGCAAAACAGATGTTGTCCTCCCTTAACTCCATAGTTTCTACTTAGGCTTCTTTTTTTTCTTCCTTGAATTACAGTTATTTGTGTGTTTGTCTTAGCTCTCCACTCAGACCATAAGCTCCTTGATGCCAAGGTTCACCACTTACATGTCTTGCTATTCTGCGTTAGTATGGAGTATAGCATCAAATATATACTATCACTGCAATAAATGTTTAATGAATAAGTGAATAAGTACCAATATCATGGTAATAGCCTCTTAGCTGTTCCCCCTGCTTCCAGTCAATTCCTCATTTAATCACTGGAGAATTTTGCAAGTCATTGTTTCATCTCTCGGTTCAAGACCTCTCTGTGACAGACTCCACTTTCCTACATACCACATTGAGTCTAAATTGATCAAACTCTCTATAATATCCCTTCAATTCCAATTTAGAAATGTAGAATTCTTACTAAGAGCATCAGGTTGGTCATCTAATTGTCTTTTAACCCTGACCTCGATCATTTAAATCCTATCTTACAATGTTGGCAGGAACATGGTTGGGACCAATTTCATTCAACCATTTCACTTAAACATATTTATTAAGCACTTGCTATGTGCCAGGCACTGGTGGGCACTGACATGCCCTGGTGAATGGAAAAGGCATGTCCTTGCCCTTGTGAAGAATACAACTCTAAAGTACTGCAAAGAACTATTCAAAGCCAAGGTGTTCATCATATTATTGCTTCCAACTCCATGCTTCTGCACTTGTGATTCACATTCCCTGAAAAGTGTTTCAAAATCCTCTCTGCTTCCTCAATCATACCTGTCCTTAAAGTCCTAGACTAAGTCCTACCTCTTCCCACAAGCTCACTGATCTTTTAACGACTACATCACATTCACAGCCTGCACCACCCAGATAACTATATTAATGCTTACTGGCTGCTACTACTCACTAATTGTTCTTTGAGTGTTATTTCCCCAACTTACGCTCTCTGACCTCAACATCTGCCTGTGTAAAATGTCATTATAACAAACCACAGGGTTATTATGTAGAATTAAAAAATTAAAAATAAAACTAGTACCCAGAATATACAAAGAATGCCTATAAGTCTATGGGGGGTTGGGGGGGGGGGAACTAATCTCTAAAAAAAAATTTTTAAGTAAAAGACATGAATAGCCACTTCAGAAAAGAGGACATCAAAAAAGCTGATGAAAAGGCACTCAATCTCATTAGATATTAAGAAATGCATAACAAATCACAGTGAGGACATACCAAGTGTCTGAAATTAAAAAGTGATCATATCAAGTGTGCAAAGAAGAAGATCAAGTAGAACTGTCACACTGGCTGCAGGAGCATAAATGGATATATTAATTATTTTGGAGACCTATAGGGCAATATCTACTAAAGCAAACCCTATGACCAAGTAATTCCACCTCAGATATATAACCCAACAGAAAGGCACCAAAAGGCATGGTCAAAAATATTCATAGGAGCATACAAAGATAAATAGCCCACAGGCCCATCAACTGGGAATGGACCGATAATTTGTAGTATAGTCACATAATGGCCTATTACATAGCAATGAGGACTACAGCCACACACAGCAACATCGAAGAACTAGATAAGCATGATGTTGAGCAAAATAAAGCCACACGCAACAGAATTTGTACAGAGTGATTGCACTTATATAAAATTCAAACAGAAAAAAGAAAATAGTCTATGTTACTAGCAGTCAGGATAATGGTACCACTAAAGAGGAGAGAGAGTATGGGCAAGAAACGGACTTTTTTATGAGGTGGTGGTTTTGGGGAGTGTCTATTTTGTGATCATTCATCCAATGTACACTTAAGATCTGGAGGTTATACCTCAATAATAAAAAAAAGTTTGTTTAAAAGGAATAAATGGAGTAATATACATGAAAGTGCCCAGCAACCTGCCTAGCATTAGTAAGTACTCAATACACGTGTGTTTACTATTTACCATTGGGCCTCGAGTCATATCAAATCCAGGGGAGGCACTTTGTTTATCTATTAATTCAACATTTGACCAGCTACTGAACTATGCATACAGGGTGTATAATGATGAACAAAACAGATATAATTCTTCACCTCAGAGAGAATACAGTCCGATGAAGGAAGATAGTCATTTTAAAAAATTCTAATACATAATTGCAAACTATGGTAAGTGCTATGAGAAAAAACCAACAGGGAGATCTAATTTAAATTGAGGGGCCTGAGAAAGTGGTGTTATCTTCACGACTGATTTTAAATAGGACAGCTGGGTTGGGAGGGTTGAGTCTACCCTCTCAACCCTTGGAAATCAATGCCCCACAAAGCACTTGAACGTGTATCTCTATCATTCCAGGAGCATTACTTGTACTAGTTATTATGACAATGGTGAACAAAAATTCATGCTTGGTCCTCAAACATGCCAGGAGCGAAGTATTTAAGTGAGGAAATGAGGAATAAAGGCAGAGTAGTGTAATACTAAAAACATGGATCCAGGAGTCAGACTGTGCCCAGGTTATAATCAATCCTAGGTCTGCCACTCATTTACAGTGCATCCTTGGGCAAGTTACTTAACCTCTCTGTGCCTTAGTTTGTGTATCTGCTAAAAATGTTGCATCAAAATCTCAGGAAGTTCGCCAACTAGTCCTGGACATAGTTTAGGAACCACTTCAGAAGAGGGGGGGTCAACTCATAGTCTGCAGGAAGGATGAGTAAGACCCAGAAAAGGGAAGCAGCTTGCCCAACGTCACTTAGCCCTTGTTGGGAAAGGCAAGCTCCTGCATAGAGTCTTTGACATATACTTGGCCGCACAGAATGGACCTTGGGCCTAGAAACTTTCTCTCACTAAGAGTGGAAGAGCTCACGCAGCCTGTAGCAATCTCACCTTGTGTGAAAATATTTGTCTCTATTTCAGACTCACTGTGGACTCCATTGTTCTGCTTAAGCATATACATCATGGGGCACATGGCCCACTGCTATTCTGTCCCAGGCGGGACAGGGACAGGGTCCTCCATTTTGTGGCACAAGACGGGTACCGGTACATGTAGGCCAATGGCCTGTGTCAGCTGCCAGAGCCGGGGCTAGGTCACTGGCCTCAGGAGTTCACAATCTTAGCACCATCCAGATCTCTGATGTTGGCCCTCTGGGCAAAGGATACATCCCCTTACTTCTTATTAGATCCCTGAGAGAACATTCAGGTTCTGGGTCCATAAATGTAAACAGGATACACACGAGAAGATGAAGCAGCCTAAAGAACCCAGCTGCACGAAGGCCTCCTTTTCCTTCCAGCCCAGCTTCCCCACCCCCGGGAGACACTGTGCTGAGTCAGTGATGGCCGCTGGGTGCTGCAGGGATTGTGACACATCCACTGAAGATGCCAATGCACTGAATAGTGGCCCCGGATCAAAGCCTCCAAATCGGGCAGGTAGAGGCCAGTTTCCCAAAGTCAATCGGAGCCACCTCAAACTTACCTCTCATGCCCGTGATCCCCAGGAGAGTGCACGCCGACGTCCGTCATTCCTGACACATCACAGAGTGAGGTTAGGCAGGGACTCTAATTAAGAGAAAGATCGCCATCGTGGCCCGTCTCCATGCAGAGATGTGCGGTCCTCTCTCCAGGCGAGAAGATGGCGTCAGTGCCTCCGTTTTCATAATGTCCCTCTGCCTGACACCCGCTCCTCTGGTTTGTAGAGTCTGAAGACCCACCCTCCTTGGCAGAGCTGGGAGCACCAGCAGGCTGTGCTCATCACAGAGGACAACCTCACACCGCCGCTGGGGAGCGCTGTTCAGAGACTGTGCAGGAGGCATAGACCTCCACTCCTCCAGGAGCCTAAATTCTATGCCTGGCCTGCACAAAATCACAAGAAAGCCACATAGGGGGACTACATTTTTCTCTGCTCCAGAATCGCCTTCACTGAGATATGTTTTAAAGTCACCTAACCCAATTTTTGAAATAATAATTCCCCATTCACATCTTCAGTTTTCATTACACAAAAGAGACAGGTAAAATTCACCACTGGTTTGGTTGCCAAAATGCTGTTGAG